TTTTCAAGCAAAAATATTTAAGATGGCAAAAAATGGATTTTCAAAAGCAATCTCAATAAAACTTTGTGTTTAAGGATTTGTGAGGTGACTATTTTTGAGTGTGAAGTCAATATTTTTAAATTTAAAATAGTGGACCCAATATGGTCCCCAAATTATAATTATAATTTTACTTCATCAAAATAAAAATAGACGTCTGCAAATTTCTTATATATCTAACGTATTTTTGAATTATTAGTTGCGAATTAATAACCAAAACTGCTAATTTAAAAATGGCGATTTTATATGGAATTCGCCACTTTGAATTTTGATTTTTGGAATTCATTATTTTAAAAAAATCGATCCCTTAAAAATCCTAAAATACATTTCAAAGTTTTTGTAAAATTTTTTAACTTTTAAATTTTGGATTGACTATATTATATTCGCCATCTTGAATTTTGAATTTTGAAGTTCACGATTGAATAGAGCGACTTCACAAACTTTTGAATATCCAATTTTAGAAATATTGAACTATCAGAGATATCAAAATGCAATATTACGTTTTCGCTACTTTTGATCATTTTTGTGAACGCAATAGGGGAGATCGGGTATAGACAGACTCAGGCAACATATGCTGCTCATATGTTTCTTTTAATATGTATTTTGAGAAGAATACTGGATATAAAATCGTAAAATGATCGTTCTAGAATATAATATTTTACTTATTCCCTGAGTTTCATTAAAATCGGAATAATATTACAAAAAAAGAAAAAAATTAATGTAGAAGTAGCAAAGTAAATTTTCGAGACTTAATATTTTATGTTGTATAATATTCTTTATCGTGAGCGAATTAAGTAACATGTTACTAGACAGAATAAAATTTCTCATAAGTGTATGTTGTACTCTATTTTGGATAATAAATGCAATTTTCATTCATTAAATAAATGAAATTAAGCAGTGGTCAGAATAAAGTTGGCCCATATTTAGGCCGTGGTTACGTAACATAGTGCCTAGTTTCAGTGATGGCAGCACTATCAGATATACGATTTGTTACGATTTTATATGTGGCCTTCTTATCCTGCGCTACTGGGCAACTGGATCCGATATCAAAGCAAGATAGCCACGTTGCTGTATATTTGGATTTTAATTATTATAAAACAAAATATATAGTTTTTCGCTATAGGTATTTTTCGACTCAAACGTGGTTAATGCCACTTTTGTTATAGCACTTATTCTTGGATATTTCAATAATTACTTTATTTACTAAAATATTTCAAAATGTTATAGACAAAAGTTACGAAACAATATTCCGATATCACGAGTATTTTTCAAAAACTTTGGGTCGAAAAAGGCCCGAACATACTTAGACGGTTAATTGATGAAGATACACGCGCATGATTTCTCGAGGCTTCTTCGCGGGCTTCTCCTGGGAAAACATAAAAAAATATCGCCCTTTGGACTTATATTCTTCTGATTGTCGACTGCGCGCCCAGAGAAGTGAATTGCCAGCCTTGCATAACGCGGTCCGCATCGTTCGTGCTTCCGAGGTCCGCGCGAGGCTTCCGAAGCGTCGTTCACGAAGTAATGAGCCATTACTCCCGCTCAGATTGAGGTCGAAGTTGCAGTATGTTTTTTCGATAATTACCAGCGTCGTATACTTTCCCGTTCCTCGTGCCTTCTTCCCTTCCCTCAGTTCCCTCTCGCCTATGGTCTCTAACACCCTCCGTTGCCCCGAACACCCCTGCGAGCGAACGTCCACCGGCTAATATTAAATCAGGCGGCGAAAAAGTTGGTCGTTACTCCTGATATCGAGCGTCCAATTATCGCCGACGTTAAATCAGTTCGAAGCGTTGTTTCCACCTGCAGACAGGAGCCCCTATTAAAAGTTAATGCATTTATCACACGGCGCGCACCGCGATACATATCCACCCGACATGAACGCTCGTGTTCGCACACACGGCTACAAAGAGAGATGTATAATATGTACATTTATATGTATGTATATATATATATATATATATATGTATGTATCGCTAGCTCTCTCGCTTTCAGCTATATATATGCATACATATATACTCATCCACTATTTATTAGGTTTTTAATGGATTTATAATTGAGGGGCGCGATCTAAAAAAATCCTCAGCCTCTCCCGCGCTCGAGAGCGGGGGAAACGAGCATTGCAAATGAATACGGTTAATCTCGTTGCGTCCTTTCATCACGAACCAACTTGATGCGCAGAGGTTTGTGAGAAGTGGGGGAAATGCTCAGCTTGCACTTCATCAGCCAGCCTTTCTTTTAATAAGCACATCGAGCTTCGCGGCGAAACCATTTCTCGCCCTCCCGCCCACCCCNCAATTCTCTGCCACGCATTTTTTTTTCTTCTTACTTTTTTTCCTTCGCGTCAAAACCCGCTTCTAACCTTTCTACATTTATCACCGCCCACTGCAGCTTAAGCGGCAATTTTGTACCGCGCTATGCATGTGCTTGCTTCAGCCGCCTCCAGGCAATCCCCTTAATGTGTACTTTTTCTCACTGTCATAATTGAGGAGCCGCCGGAGGAGGCCGCCGCATACTATCCCCTGGAATGTTCCTCTCCCATAAATTCCGACCTTACGCCTCGTAAGCGCGCCTTTGTAGAGCGTCTCGTGTGTACGATATTAGAAAAAATTTTCGCGATTTTTCACACTCGCTCGCCTAGGCTCGTGCTTTAACTGACGAATACTCGCCACGATGAGTAACATCGGCACTTTCGGCTGATCCGCGTCTCATAATTTCATTATCGCGGACGCGCTGTAATTGACTTATAATGACAGCCGTTCAGACTCGAGTGCATCTTGGTAGAGTTTTAAAAATCACGTTCAACTTTGCCTTTTTTTCGCGTGGTTTCAACCGAGCGAGAATAAAGTATGAAGCACTTACATTGACTTCGACCGTCTGCGGTAATCAAGAGTGATCTAAATGAATCAAATGAAGAAGAAATGATGAATCAAACGATGAATAAAGCACGATACATAATTGATATACGTTTTAAAATATCGATAGCAGTGTGAGACGTTTTTTGTCCTATGTCGATTCATTCCAAGACATGAAATGTTAAAAAAGACTTGGTATTTTGCGAGAAAGAGAGAGAGAGAGAGAGAGAGAGGGGGAGGGTGGGAGAAAGAGAGGTAGCGAGGGAGGGAGAGAGAGAGAATGTGGAGCATTTATTGAAATATCTTTTTTGCAAGGTTTCATGATACATATTCAAAGGACTCGAGGGAATACTGCGTGGTAAGCGATATATAATTTATGACGGGGAAAAATAGATATTTCACCGAGACGACCATTTAACTTTACATGAGATTGTCCGGAAAATACGCTCCTGCCCCTGAAGAAATACAAGTCCGATATTTCGAAATGAAATACGTTTATTCTCATGGTTGAAGAATTTCGACTAAAAACAATCTCTCAGCGGCGACCGTTTCGTGAAGTGAAAGTAAGTATCTCGATATTTTGGCGCTTCTTAAGGTAACTTTTAATAAGCTGGACGGGTAGCTAATTATATTACCTTTAACTTCACCCCCTATTTGGCATATTTTCATAGCGGCATTTAATTCTCGCTAAACAAATTTCCGATTCGACGGAGTTACGGTAAAATTTTCATTACGAACGCTAGCAAAGAGGTGAAAGCGAGAGAGCTCGCGATACACCAAACTATCTCGCCTTGCGTTCCGCGACGCGAAGCGCGGGGTATCTTAAAATTAGCAGATAGAACATTACACGATTATATTACCCGCTTAGACAAAGAGACAGCGCTCTCCTATGCGATACGATTCATCCTCACTGTCCGCCCCTCCAAGCCCCCCGCTACTCATGAAGATATCATCAACTTGAGACGAAGTGTCCCCTCTCCCTATGCCAGTCTCAATTATCAGATTGACATGCCTCTGTGTACCGCGCAATGTCTGAACTCCGCTTCACGATCGTCCTTTCAATCATCGTAGAACCTCGTCGAATTTATCGTCACGTAAACTCCCGGGATTAAATTCTCGCATTAGTGGCGGCCCTTCCGCCGACAATTAGCGAGGCGAAAAAGCGAGGCACGAACGCGCGTACTCGCACGACCGCATCCGTTTCCATCCCCTGGCGGATCGTCATCGTTTTCCCTCCTTCGTCGCCGACACCGCCGCGGCCATCGTCGCCGTGCTTTTTCCTCATTCCCTCGTCTTTGACATAGCGATCGGCACTTCAGTCCCGGGCTCTCTTTTTCCCGCTCGTCAGCCAGTCGAGCACCAAAAAGGAGGACGTTTTGACCGAAGCGCTTTATCGTGGGGCGAGCTGCCCGATCGACAATATCTCGACAATTCACCCTCGAGCGGAACGCTGCCGATTCCGAGCGTTTTCCTCCAACGCCTCTGCTGCCTACACTCGTCTCGTTCCCTCGTTTCTACCTATGGTCGCTCACCTCTCTCTCTCTCTCTCTCGCGAGCTTTTCCTCTTCTCCGTGCCTCTCATATTTCTCACCGGAAGGAGGACCGGCACAGCCACGACTTGTCGTGCATTCGCGCCTCCCACTTTTCCGGCGCGGCGGTCCGCATGTATCAGAGGTACATAATAAATTGAATATTATATCTAACCACGCGAACGAGAGGGCGAGAAAGAGAGCGAGAGAAAGAAAGAGAGAGGGAGGGAGAGGAAGGAGAGAGAAGGAGAGAGAATGAGAGATAAGGTGAGGAGGGAGAGACGGTGGAAAGAAGAAAAGCGGCACCGTATAGTCCTGCGGGCCTGCGGACCTGCGCTATGCGAGTTGAGCGTCCCGTCACGGCGAGCGTTCCGACGCCGCTCTCTCGACTCGCTCGACGACGCGGCCAGCTCGACGCAGTCAGTACACGCGTCCCGACGCCCGGGGATGCGTCCACCGGCAGAGGTGTAGAACTTCGTTCGCGAGCCCTTCGGACTTTCGCGGGGTGAAGTTTCTCGTCGCGAGGAAGAAAGAGATTGTGCAAGGTCCGCGAGTCTAAATCGCAAAGGGACAGAGGAAAAAGTGCGTGAGAGCGTTTAAAAGAAGATTCGCGCGCGTATGGCGCGTCGTGTCACACTTTCGTCAGTATAATGCTACACTCTTTCCGCGAGGTAATACACTCTTCGGTAATTGTCATATTTAAAGAAGAAAAAAGAAGCGAGTTTCGTTATGCTTCGCTGTAAAGTTAATTCATTGTTAAATCATAAGAAAAACAATCTCTCCGTTTTCCGTTAAATGGCGACGTAATATTCGAGGATTCGATTACCTCAGGTGTCGAAGCGCAGTGATTACAAGATACAAAAAAAGACGACTCATCGTCGACATGTGCAAATGTTTCGCGTAATTTGAACGGAAGCGCTGTGTGTGTGTATTCTCGTGTAAGATTGAGCGAGAAAGGACCACGTTGGCTCGTCGAGTGCGATTGCAATGCGATTGCGGTGCAATTGCGTTTGTTTTACGCGATCAGTTGTCTCGCGACACGGAACATCAGGCGGCGATGGTGGCGGCGACAGTGATCTCTTTTAAATAAAAGTCAGTCAAAGGAGTTATACGCATATAGTAAACCAATGTTACTGGGACGTTAGCGTAAACGATATTATTAAAAGGCATTTTGGAACGTTTTATGTAAAATGTGAGTTATTGCGCGATATATCACATTACGCGCATGTGTTATATCTCAGATATTTCATTTCTCCTACGGTTATACAACCCGCGTACACTAACCTGTGTTACTCGCACGACGAGGAAGAGTATAGAAAAGTGCACGAGAAATAAAGACAGCGCATATACGTTGCTTTTTACGAGGCGAGGTTCAGCGACAGCGAATATATTTGATAACGCGGCTAATGACTTCAGCGAATTTACATACCGGAGACAAATTTCCTCGCACGAATTTGTTATCGACGTAAAAAAAAAACAGAAAAATAACAGGGCAAAGTAGATTCCTATAATATATTGATGTTTTATACGGTATATCTTATTGAACGAGACGAGATGATCTCCCTCTTATGAAAATTTAATTACATGCCATCTCTCTTCGTAATTTCTGCGATATTAATTCCTAAAGCATTACAATATTAAGTATTTCCTGATAACTACTCTATAAATTAAAATTCTGCTAAAGTAAATTTTAAATTATCCGCGATAAGCGAGATTTTATTATTAGTTCGCTTAGTAGTGTAACTCGTCCAAATTCCTCTCGTAATTTCTTTTATAACGTAAGAATTAATCTTATCGTTTTTATTAAGGAAAGATTAATTTTCGACTATGACATCGCGCGGTACGCAAAATGTACTTATTATCGAACATTCTGTATGCGGACATTAAAAGCGCATTCGTTCATAACTTGTCAGGCTTAAAAGGAAAAATACATGGCATCCGTCTGGATAAATAGAAGAAGAGGATTACTTGGAAAATGTATCTCGAGAGAGATTAATGGTGAAGAATTCGAAATCATTTTGATCGACGCGTAATAATAATCTCTATTATGTTACGCGCATATATGCGTAATTAAAACTGCCGGTCGAAGAAAATATCAAATATTACGAAATATTAAATATAACGAAGACTTGTAAAATTTACCCGACAAACATTGTTCTCGTTCGCGAACAATTCTGTTTCGCCACAAACGAACATATTTTCTCGGGAGGATTGTTCGGAGAATTTCGATTTCGACATAGACATTATGAATATATTAAGCACATTTCTTCATACGTGTAATCTTTCCCGTTGAAATTCCGATTTTAGTGCTCCTTTATGAGATCCTAAATATTACGCGGCGACGCGAGATTGTGCGGATTCATTGTCGCGAAACGTTAGAGCAATTGTATTCAACGCCACAGAATGATGTTTAATGCGCGATTTACCCTGATATCCGGATTAATCCATTTCCGCACAATACCGGTCATTCATAAAACGGACATATGTCCGTCCGCGATATTATGCGCTGGAATTATTCTTCGCATTATGAGAGAGGCGGACGGAGAAGGTCGGGGGAAGACAGAGCATGAGAAAGAGAGAGATAGGGAGAGGGAGAGAGGGTTGGAGGGTTGGAGTGAGAGTCGCGATTCGGAGCGATAGCCGGAATAAATCATTCGGAGTGATATAACGTCGTCGGTACAAGGGATCGTAGTTCGCGGAGGTGGTTTCCGCGCGGCGTCGGCGGCGAAATCAAATCAGTCGCATTTGGCAGAGCGCATTATCATAAGAAAAAAAATTATTGAGGAAACGACGGCTGAGATAAAGTCGCCGGGTAAATTAATCGGCTGTCCGGGAGTTTTTCCGCAACGTCGTTTCGGACGCGCGATTAAATCGGCTCGAGGCGATTTTCGGGCGGCGCGAAATCGATTTATCGGAGACGGCCGGGGATCGAGAACGCGGCGGACGAAGAACGGCTATTAGAGAGCGACAGTTTAAGCCCGCCTAGGACGGAACAGTAAATTCTTTCGTCATATATATCACTTTTTTATATTTTCTATTCGGATTCACGATGGGGATCAGTGTCACCTCGGGTTAGCATCGCCATCATGTTCCGCACGTACGCCGGCGCCGTCGGATTTATAGTAATCGTTGTGTATTATTCCGCCGAACTTTCTATTGACCGTGACACAGGAACGATAAACCGGGCGCACGCGCGCGCGCGCAAATACCGTCGGAACTTTAGATTAAAATTTGACCGAGGCGAACCGGGAATAAGTGCGCGCGAGAGGAACTCCATGGCAGTGTTGAATTAGCCCAGGTCCTGTTGAATATCAACAGCTCCCCGAAATCAAAGCCGTGTTAATGGCAACAGACCCCTCTTCTCCCCGTTCGTTTTATACGCCAGAGTTTTAGCTTGAAATTCGAGACGGGACCATAATAATACATGAGTGCAGTAATTGGGATATTAAAACTCGGAAGATGACGACGCGTGAATTATATGTTGTTATAAACTTATAGATGGAACAACACACTGATGGAAACTGATGAATCGTAATACGATAGCGTGAACGTGATACGGTGATATGTAATATTCTTACACCGACGATATAACTATCGAACGAGTACTAAATTATGTGACTATTTATAGTCAATTCGAGCTCCACGCAAATCACGTTCGTTTCACACGACAGTCGCACATTTGCCTCCAAGTATCTCCTCCTCTCCCTTTCTCTTCCTTCCCTCCCTCCCTATCACTCTCTCTCTCTCTCTCTCTCTCTCTCCTCCCTCTCACTCTTTCTTTCTTTCTCTCTCTTTTCTTTTTGTCTTATTTTTGTTTACTTTTACTTTAACTATATAATAGTACTGCATTACATTCTTTTTGTCATATTTTTAGAGAGCAAAGCCCTACAATGAAAAAATTTGATAAACAATTACTAAGATTTAGTTAAATAGTTTTAACTAAATTGTTTGATTATTACAAATCACTTAGCACCATATATTGTTTGTAGGACACTATTAAAAACGTTCTTAAAAATAATAACGTTTCTGATAGTAAATTAAAGAATTTTATATTAAAATGTTTAACTTCTCATAATTTTCATAATATCAATGTTGTTATAAAATAATTATGATGTTTTACATACTATAAAATCAAAGAACAAGTATAAAATTTAATATTTATACTTGTTCTTATAATTATAATTTTCCGTCTTATATAATTTGTTATTTAGTTTTCTTATTCAATTATGACAGATTATAACACGTTATATTATGTTAGAGTCGTTCTAACATTTAATAACATTTTTAGAGTTAGAGTTGTTCTAACATTTAATATGAATGTTAATATATGTATAATATAGGATTTGATAACGAATGAATATAAATCGTTACTTGTTACTTGTGAATATTAGTGAAATATATCAGTTGTATGTATTTCACTAATGTTTACTCACTAAATCTCATATTTTAAATTATTACAGCATCATTATAAAAAATGGATTCAGAATGTTTTTCCATAACTAATCGTTATCAAATGTAATATCAATTTAGTTATTAATTTCATAACTTGCTTATGTAAAAAAAACTTCACAACCAAATTATAAAGTTTCTTTAACAGTACATAATAACACAGTACTAAATGATTTGGTTGCAATAATCAAACAATCTAGTTGAAACTGTTTAAACAAATCTTGATAATTCTTACCAAACCCTTTTTTTAGTATAGAGCTAGAATAAATGCACTTATCTATTTCTCTTTCTCTTTTTCTCTGAAAAAGTGACATCTACCTCCGCATCGCAATACAACGGCGGCGATGTGGCACAGCTGCGATTTTAGAAATTTTTTAGTACGTTGAATAAAGGAATGACTTAGGAAGAACGCACGCACCACCGAGTTTCTCGCTCGTGCTAATATTTTCTTTCCTTCTTTTTTCTCGTCTTTCGGAAAATCCTGAAATTCCCACACACCGCCACGGGAGAGCGGGAAACTTTCACGGTCATTATTCCGCGAGAGAGCGAGGAGTGAATTACGTTCGCGCGGGAGGAAAATTCGGTCGCATATAAATCTTCGTGCGCGCACAGTTCGTGTTTCTCGTTTAGCGTTTCCTCGGATTTTAGCGTTTTCCCGAGCGCGGTTACTGGCGCTGCTGCCGATTGGTATTCCAGATCGGCGGCAACATTTGCCCGATCCTTCCGGCAGGGCCGATTGTTTGTGAGTAAACATCCGGATTGGGGTGGACGTACCTAAGAGAAGTGGAAAATGGAATTTTATTTGTATAACGCGGCGATCACTTTTATGGATGTTGATATCGGCAATCTCTCCGCGACTAGCGGCTTCCGATAATGGCGTAAATCAAATTTATAAACGCCCGCTTTTACTTCACGCCTTATAGAAAATTACGGTGGTGTAAAGGCGTGTGCCATGCCATGGTACGGCAATCTCGGATATTGCGACGTCAAAAATAAGCAAGAGGGAAAGAGAAAGAATGAAGGGCGGACTGAGGGGGAGAGAGAAGATTCAATTAAATGGCAAAAACGATGCCGATAATGCAGCGAGTAATGATGAGCCGGGATAATAAATTCAATAAAGGCGTATGAGAATAATGCGTCGGATCGAAAGGACACGAGGTATCTGGGGGGAGAGGAGTAGGAAAAATATTTTTAGAGGTGGAGATAGAGCCGCGGAAATTACAGCAGCGGAAATGGAGTGAAAATTAAACTCCGTGGGGCGGATTAAAATATTTTCGCGCGGCGATAATTGAGGAATAAAAGATTTTCAGAGCGCACTCGAATAAATCAGGCTCTCTCGTTGCGACGCGCGCAGCACCGCCGGCAACGGATCCTCTCTCTCTCTCTCTCTCTCTCTTTCCCGTATCTTATCGAATCGGTAGATGCTGCGGAGATACATGTGCAGTCCTTAGATGGAACGCGCAGGCATTCCGTCCATATCGTCGAATTCGTAAAATAAAAGTGGAGAGGATAAAAAGCAGATGTTACGACGCGCTCAGGTGGAACAGCCGCGAATTCATCGCACGACATGGATGATCGGCTGATCGATATCGCCGAGTTTTTATTTGCGCAATGCACCACCAAGAGATTAAAATCATGAAAGAGGGAGAGATAGATAGATAGAGAGAGAGAGAGGGAGAGAGAGCGGCAATGCGCGAAGCGTCTGGTAGAAATAAAATATCAATCCGAAATAATTTTTTTTTACGCGGAGATAACCGAACGCCGGAAGATTCTCACTCGGCCGAGAAGCTAAACTCGAGCTCAACAGCTTGGTCCCGGGTTTTTCCTTTAGCTCCCATCAGATAAAATTGCAGGAGGAGAAGCTGCTTTTAAAGACCCAAGAGGTAAAAGAACCTTAAGCAAGTACTGGTCGGGAAGCGAGGCCGAAATTAAGAGCCGGAAATGACGGAGACAGCGGCGGTAGTAACCGTGGTGACGAAGGCGGTGATGCCACGAAAATAAGAATATTTCCGGGCGCGATACAACAATGGTGAGAGCACAGTCAGCCGGTAGACATATAATATCTCGGATATTTCTCCTCTTGACCCCCATCTCCCGAAATCACGACACTTTCGTCGGAGAGATCTTTCACTTCGCCCGCGAGGACCATCGATCACGCGTAAGCGAGATAGGACAAAGAGCCCATAATCTGACATCGGCGTGCGAAGAGAGGGCTGACGGGCGGCGACGGGGTGTGACAGCGAAGGGGAAAAAAGGAGGCGAATGGGAGAGGCGACTAGGGAAAGAAGAGTCGAGGAGAAACGAGGGTAACGAGGGTTGGAAGCCGGAACAGGACGAGAGGGTTTTCATTTAGTCCTGTCGTAAATAAGAACGAAGCGGTTACTCGCGGCGTATAAGCATGGCCAGAAGTGCTAAATTCCGCCTCGTACGCGGACTGAAATCTCCGCCGCTAAACGGCCGGGAGATAGTTATTTACGAGACGGCGTAAAGGATAATTGTCCCGCGCACGTTTCCACGCGGACGACGGGAGAAAGCGACCGCATCCCGGGGATCCAGGATATACGGTCCAAGTCTGGTGGCACTTTCGGCCGGCCGATTTCTACGTACGTACATTACACGGAATTGCCACAAACTTAGCGGCGTTTATATGTCGCTAGACAAATGTATCAATCGGAAAGAGAGGTGGCGAGGAGGAGCGTGCGCAAAACGACGAAAAAAGGATCGGAAGGAGAGACAAGTGAGAGAAAGAGAGAGAGAGAGAGAGAGAGAGACATACGGGGAAAGGGTGCAAGCGAAGAAACTTCTCGCACACGTTAACCGGCTCGCTCGTCGCCGCTGCCTTCGGCAGTTCAGAGCTGTCCGAGGATGGAGGTCTCACCCTCGAAAACCTCCGTGTGGGGAAGCTTCGTTTTCGCACGATAGGCACGACCGATTAAGCGAGACGTTAATCTCTTTACTTTTGGTTTATAGTTTTCAATTCTCGTGTACGTTGTGTGTTTGATTAATCGTCCGATTCTTTCGATCTCTCGGAGAAATTTTCTTGATTACTTCGAGGTTTCTCTTCTCTTCCTTGTGTTTTTCTTCCTCGTTATGTTACAACGGAGGGTAGCTGTCGATTTTGTTACCTTCTATATATCTATATATATATATATATATATATATATATGTATATTTCTTTTTCATCGATCACTTGACACAATTACTTGATATTCTCTAGAGAGATTTTACCCCGGAACGTCAAATAAAATATGCTCGCTGCCTATGCTTACGCGTGAATTTTGAGACTAATGAAATTATCGTGAGATATTGTATGAACTCTGATAATACGCGGCTATGCATAAATACAATGAGACAGTATATGAGATGCAGCGTATTGATTTTAACCGAATTTTCTCTCGTAACTGCTCCGACAACATTCAAAACAATTACCCCCAATGTTACGGTTAATAAAAGGACGTTTCGCTAAACTTGGCTTTTCCGTGCATATAAACCAATTCGTTGTAGTCGTAGATTAAACCCTCGAATTTGTGCTGCGAAACATGCAAACGTTTCTTCAACATCCGCGATATAAATTCAAAAATATTTGTCTCCATTATATTATTTTATTACGATGGCAAATGTGTAGCTCGCTTCATTTGATCGTGTCTAAGGCTAACTCAAACTCAAATGATATGTGTTCAAGGTTCGTTTTTGACGTTATATCGCATATCACATTTAACATATGAAGTTTTATGTTTTGATATATCTTTTAATAATCATTATTTGCATTAATACGCAAATTCAAATATTACTCGCGTACTGTTAACGTTTCATCGCGAGTTATTGTTAATGCTGCGCGCTCCGATCTGGATATTTTAAAATTAATTAATTAATTAATTAATTAATTAATTAATATATACCTGAAACAATGATACGAAAGTGTACTGAAACACGCGGGATTTTATCGCCCGCACCCGTCTTATGCCAATTACGCCACCTTGAAAATAATAAGCGTCGGAAAACACGTTTTTACGTGGAATTTCTTTATACCACGTGGAAAAATCAAAAGCAAAAGAGAGAGAGAAATAGGGAGAGAGGGAGAGAGAGAGAGAGAGAGAGAAAGAAGGGGCGGGGGGTGAGAGAAAGAGAAGAAAGGAATGTGAGTTGTTATTACCGTTCAGCTTTTCTTTTTTTTTCGCTCTTTCAGAATGAGGGTGGCACGGCTATTACTGTGCTGCGTACTTCTCGAAGACTACAGCACCAATCTCGGCGGAACGGCAATTACCAGTGACGCCATGCGCCAGGACGGCTCCTCGTCCGCGACGAATCCGACGCTATCAGGTATATACCCGTATATACTCATTTGCATATTGCCGGCATCGCGCGCCGCCGACACCACCGATACCGACGCCTTCTTTCTGTTTTTCCCTTCCGTGCTAAGACAGATTCGTAGGCCCTCCACGGAAATTTCGCCGTTGGCGTTAATGGCACGTGCCGAGGAATGCGCGTGAACAAATATTACCGGCGGAAAAAAAATAAAGGACACTTGCCGTCGTAGTTGTCGTCATGCGTCGCACGACTACCTTTTGCCTGAAGTACCTTTGCCCCTTGAATAAATAAATGATCGGAGGCTGGGTGGGACCTTCCTCTGGTAGGTTATCTGCCGGCTTAACACGCGACATCTCGCGAAATTATTCGTACACCTAAGTCGCGTAGCGCATAAATTACGATCCGCAGTTACGACGCGAACGCAGATCCCTTGTTGCTTCACCTGATTTGCTAATTGGAGCTAGTCTGCGAATATTTCCGATGCAAATAACGCAGCCGAGAGTGCGAAAATAAACGAAAAACAGGGAACGTGATATTGTCGTTTTGTTTGCGCACCCCGTCTTATTCGTACAGCTTTATCTAGTATGACTGAATTGATGTCGGCAAACTCTAATATTTAATACGATCCTATATATGGACATTGAAGAAATATGCTTGGTATTTGTAACTGTAATCGCATAAAAGAATTATAATAAGGTGATCCATTTTTCTCGTAAGTACACGCAGAAAATTTTTGTTGAATAATATAGCATATTAATAGTATGATTAACTAATCTTGTATTGCGCGCGACTAAGATATACTTATACTGGAATCAACATTTATATTAATAATAAACAAATACTTTGATCAGATATATTTTTAATTTGATTTTGTATATAATTTTATCATAAGTCAATATTATAAAAGTAAAAAATGTCCCATACTGATATGCATTTTTGACGTTGCAGTTTAGATTGCGCGTTTCTGATGACAGTAAAGTGAATGTCCCGATTAGTAACAAAGTAATATTATCGTAAAAATAAATTTAAAAATTATTATAATAATACACGTGTTAAGTACATTATATAAGTTAAGTACATTTATTTTGTCTAAAAGTTTAAACAATTGAAATTCTAATTATATTATAAATTTTTTCAACATTCGCTGCCACGCTCCTCGGGCATATTTCCTTCTACCAAGCCGCCAGACGCACTCTCCGCTTTATTCACAAGCCAAGGGTCCAAATTAACGTGCTTATACTACGGATTAACTCGTGCTTGGCACAGAAGGTCGATAATCGACATATGAGTATATTCGTAGTTGGCTTGTAAGGCTCATATACTAACTACAAGTATACTTGTAGTTGGCAGCAAACGTATTAATTTATGATAAAATTTTAATCAATTTATAATATGTTGTCAGAAGTAATGGAAGTACTATTTAGTGACATGTAACTTTGATTTTGTTCTAATCTATAACACACATACATGTATTTATATTGTTGACAGGTGACGAATTTACAAACAGATTTACTTATTACTGAAAGTAAAAAATTATTATTCAAATATTATTAAATTACAGAATTATGAACGTTTACCCTATTATTAACTTAAACATGATAGTTATAAAATAAGAATTCATACTATTTGCTAAATTTTGGAGAAATAAGTTATAATCCTATGATATTATTTCTTAATTTTATAGTGGATAAAATGTACAACTCACATTTTATCTTTAGAAATAGAAACGTTTATATTTTATATCAGATTTATTTAGATAGTCAGTAATAAACAAATAAATATTCCAGTATCGATTAGTAACATACATGTATTAACTACAAAAAATACGTACTTTGTTACTTTTTCGCTTGCAAAAATTTCTTTAATCTTCCCTCAACTTTGATAGTACGGTTTAAATTTCTTGAGGTTAAAAAATAGCTACAAAAAATATGAAAAGAAACGTCTTATATTAACAGTCAATTTCTAAGGTGTTGAGTAATTGTTCGAATTATCACTATTAGCTGCACGTTTATAATTATATTTTAACATTCACTATAGCTTTTAATTTTATTCGAAACTTGTTATAAAAGGTAATGCATAAAATTGAGAATAAAAACACATTTTTAGGATAAATATGGAGCTATATATTATTTGACTTGTTAAGAAAAACAGATGAGATTGTCATAAATTGGGACAATGTCATTAATTAGAACATTCACCTTTTGAGAAAAAATTTCGTCTCGGGTAGTAACTATTATATAATATCATTAGCTCGCACCAGGTTGTCCATTTTGGGTTTCCCCTTTGTGGAATCCAAGGACCTCAGCACCGATTCATTTGGGAGCCTGTATCTCTATATTAAGAGAACAGGTGTTATGAACTGGTGCTGATTAGAAACAGAGGGTAACACAATAAGCCCTATGGCTGAGGTGCAGCCGGAGCTTCCAGCGCGGAGAGGAAAAAGAACTATTGTGTAACATATAGTACTATTATATATGCGTGTTTATGAGAACAGCAGAAAGACAGGTTATTTATAATCTTTGTGACATAGACCATTGTTTCCGAGGAGCAGTGTATGGTTGTAATCGTGTCGTTTGCGTTGCTTTCCAAATTTCCCATATTGTCTTAGAATTGTTTCGCCGTTGTAAGTATATCCTAGCCAAGTAAGATTGCTATAATACTTTTACGATTCATGAATATTTACATCTTTGAGAAAAATCCTCTGCGTATATTACAATAGTATCAGTGATAATAACTTTACATGCATATTGCTACTACTATGTTTTGGGTTAAAATTGGAAGAAGATACAGATAATGAGATAGAAAATAACTATAATTTTCGTGGGATTCCTCTCAGTGGAGAGACATTCGAAAAGTTGTCAAACACAATTGTCTCACAATTGTCAAAAAAACTTGACCGAGGTATAGAAGAAACAAATGATTTACAGAGTGGATAGACCGAACCTAAGACATGTCGAGGGGTGGCTGCTTCCTGAACGTTTAATCTGAACGCGCGGACCCTAATTCCGTTTCTTCCGAGTCATCAGCCCAGGCTGCCGAAGCTGGTTGCACTATCTCCCAAGGCGCGCCGAGACATGGTTTTTCAATTATTTGATAAGATCGCGCGTGTTCGATGATCGGGTGTATTTGACCGGCAATAATCGAGGGAGGTTTGTGCGCCGCGTTGTGTGTGCCGACTCGTAAATAAACCCTTGTAACGTCACGTGCTTCCTGCACGAACGGATACTCTCACTCGGCAACGTCTGAAGGGCTTTTTCGCCGAGCGTATAAAGCTTTGTGGAAATTCTGAATAATGCATTGTGAAATATTATCTATACGTGGCGGATTTATACGATGTTGTGCGCCGCGGCGATACGTTGTCTGTCCTTCTCAAAAAGCTTGAGAATGTTCGGCGAGGAGAGAAGAGAAATATTTTTCCTTGTGTATCTTATTTCGACGTGCGAAAACGCAGCGTCAACAGTGAGTTCGACTACGCGACACAGCGAATCGCGCGGTAATCTGCGATGCGCAAAGCCGTTTGACAAATTTCGCGCTTAATAAAAAATCGCACACTCTCTCCCTCTCTCTCTCTCTCTCTCTCTCTCTCCCTCTCCCTTTCTCTCTCTCTCTCTCTCTTTTCCTCTGTCATGCATCACTATTTTCGAATAAAGCGAAGCTCGCATTCGTCATTACAACATTTGTATACCGCTCGTACGATGACGGTGCGAAACACAACTGCGCTTTTCATATTTACGAACGGTCACACAATGCCGAACAACTAATAAAGCCAAACGGCTTTTCACGAATTTCAAAAGCGCCATTGTCGTACGTCTCGCTTTTGACCGGACGCGGTCCTGTTCTTCTTGAGAACCCGTGGAGTACGAACGTAACCTCGAATGCTCCAATTTAATGGACAAATATATCATGAGCTTAAAGGGCACGAAATACTTCAAAGAGTGTGTAATGACCACGTCGACGCTGAACATAGCAGCGACGAGTTTGCCGAGCAAACTCAATCCATGCAAAATTCGTGCCGTTTATTTTTTACGGATTGTTCAGAAGTCGCGGCTTGCATGCTCGTCGGATTAGCGTTATTTTTTCCCTCTCTTTTCGCAGTTTTCACAGCCGGCAAGAGAGAAAGAGAGAGAGAGAGAGAGAACGCATTATCGTCGCCGCGATATTTTACGAAGCTAATCGTCAGTGCATTCACAGATACGCGGCCGAGGAATCTATGCGTGTCGAGGCGAGTGTATCCGATATCGTTTTCTTCTAGTTTTTTCTTTAAATATATAACGCGTCGTAGTGGTAGTGAAAATCGTGGTGTTTTACGGCGAGCGAAAGTATAAATTAGGATTCTCGCGGCTCAACGAGAAAACATAAGGTAAAATCGTGAGAGAAAACTGTCCGTTGCATTTGCGAAAATTTACGAATATCGTTACGGCGAATCGTTCGCGCGTTTGGACATTAATTGAATATCCATCGAAATTCCGCTAACTTATTAATCGTGGCATCTTGCAACGTCGAGAAAAAAAATTAAGTGAAACGATTCCTTTTATTTTCTCCGAAATTCTTCCTGGGGGGAACTTTCGCCGACGGAGACTCGCCATCGCGCGTATTTTACAGTTCGGTAACGCCGAAACGCAAAACGCACATTTCGCCCCGAAATGTGGAGAAGGGAAAACTACACGGAACTTTATTCGAGTGGTCGTGAGACGAGAGAAGTAAACGAGAGCGCGAGAAGAATGAAGCTGCGGAGAACGTCCTCGTTGGCGTGGAATCGTTGTCGTCGTCGTCGTCGCGTCCGAAGTTGAAGTGGTTCTAGCCGGCTCGGCATCGCCGAGGTCCATGCCGGTTAGTTCGCCAAGTTTTTCCTTTGAGGATGAAAGATATTAATTAAACTGTCACAGACACGTAGCGCGCGCGCGCGCGCGCGCAGAACCCCTACCCAACTTTATTTCGCCACTTACAAGTTTACCACTTAGGCAGCGTGCGCGGGCGGGCGGGCGGCTACAGTCATCTTTTTACGGCTCTAA